ATCAATTTATCAAAAGTGACAGTTAAGGCTTTAACATTGTTACAAAAAATAATATTTCAAATAAATGATGTTCTTTTAAACTTCCTGTTCATCAAGAATCATGTAAAAAATAATACAATCACAGTTTCTACAAAAATATGAAGCAGCACAAATGTTTTCAACATAGATAGTAGTCATAAAAGTTTCTTGAGCAGCAAATCAGCATATTAGAATGATTTCTGAAGGATCATGTGACACTAAAAAATGCTGAAAATTCAGCACAGGAATAAATTACAATTTAAAATACACTAATTGTAGCAATATTTATATAAAACACTAAAATTGCAATAATATAGTATTACTATTTTACTGTATTTATAATAAATACATAAATAAATAAACACACGAACAAACAAACGAACGAATGGTGCATAAGAGACTTCTATCAAAAACATTAAAAACTCTTACCAACCAAAAAAATGGTAGTGTATTGCACACAGATGCAAATGATATTTGAAAGCAATAGTGGAGATTTTCAGTCCTCACAGAAAATTATCACATGGCTTCTTTTTTACCCTGTGCACTACTTTTATAATATATTATGTATATTTGCTTATTTGTAATATTTGGAGTGATATCAACAAATATCCCTATTCATTTTCAGTGTTTGCAATTCAGCAATATGACCATTTTGCCCACCAATTATTTTTGACTTCCCATAATAAATAACATCATAATGAATGCAATAAAGACAAAATTGTAATTTATCTGTGAACCTTCCCTTTCAGCATGTAGTTGCATGAGATGATTACATAAGCAACAAACAACTAAAAAAGTGCTCTGCCCAAGTGCATAATGGGATGTGCTGAGCGAGAGCAGAGAAGGAGGCTCGGTAATGAGGGAGAGTGAAGGTGCAGGTGAGAAAGATACAGGGGCTGCCGGGGAGAGTTACTGAAGCTAAGCTAAAGAGATCCAGGACATGCGATGGAGAGATGCCACGTGTCAGCCGGCGAGCCCCAGGGTAGAGCACCTGAACGCAGCACACTCCCCTGCTAATGAGTGCTTGCCTCTCTGAGCCCACCGACGTCCCCCGCTCGACACACGCTCCACATCTCCCTACACACTACAAGCACTTTATAAATATCAGCCAGCGCTCCGACTGCACTGCAGAACGCACTGAAAATAAATCAGACAGACCAATGGAGGCGCGCCATCATTAAGATTCAACACCAGCCGACGGTGTCGTAAAGCTTTAAAGTTTTCTTTCTTTCTCTCGACTTTTCGCAAGATTACGCTTTGGTGTCAGGCAAGTCAGACGGACGCCTGATTCTGTATAATTACAAGCAAATTACATTCATTACCATAATTTACATCTCATCACCAATCCAATTATTAGTTGCCCTGACCTCTGCTGAAAGATTTTTTTTTTTTAAATAATCAAACGTAGGAGAAGAGTTTTCGTTCTTCCCTTTCTTACTTCAAAGAAGAACAATCAATGCAAATTCGGAAATGTCTGTGATTATATGCTTCGGCAGCCGAACTCAAGGACCGTCGCGCCGCTGCCGCAGCTGTGATTTTCTGTTATTGCTGGAGCAATATGCTCATCTTCCTTCTCCTGGGGTCCCAGCAGGATTTCTAGAGGTTTTTGTTTTTTTTGGGAAGTCATCAAGAACGGCTCTCACTTTTTATCTATCATCAATATAAGACAGTGAGAAAGACTGATGAAGAGAGCTGGTTATCCATAATCAAGCTGGTCGCTGAGGGCAAACTGTGATTCAGAGGAGATTTGGAAACAGAAAATGTCATATTCTCTTGGCATCATAAATGGGAAGCTGATATGTCCTGTGGTGTAAAATTCTCTAAATATAAAATACAAATTACAATGTAAAATTAAAATAAATAAATAAATAAAAATACAATGCAAATGCAATTTATTAAATTATAATGTAAATGTAAAATTAAGTAATGAAGGTTAAAAAATTGAAGTGTTTTATTACGCTGTAATTTCACATACATTTTAAGCTTGAACCTTGATGTGGACCAAAAAATAGAATACAAAGATTAGTAATATTCCAAAACCTATTGCCCTGCTGTCTACTGTCTAGATACGCAGCTACATTTTAAGCCAGCACCCATCATAAAAAGTTACTTGAAAAAGCATATACTCCTCACACTTTCAATTCATCCCAATTGCACAATATTCCAATAAGACCAAATATTGGGTGAAAAGGTCCTTTTTAATTAGCTAAAACCGCAATGACACTTTATCTACTGAATGAAATACAATTAATTGATTTATTGTTTGTTGCAGTGCATTCTGGGCCTGAAGGATACATACTGAATCTGATCAGACTGAGGTGCATTATGCATGAGTTTGGAGCTGCCTTGGTGTTTGGAGTGCATTAAAATGCTGTTTTGGTTGGCAGCTCAATATGTTTTGGAACACAGCAAGTGGGTTTGTTTTTGTCAGTATCAACTAAAAAGTTAACTTATATATGGGTCAAAGACAATAAATTACATACATAGAAAACATATTAAATGCAAGTAAAGTGTCTACTTCAAATTTTCAAATTACTTTTGAGAAAAAAAAGTCAAAATATGGGTGAAATAATGTTCCATCATCATTCAGCGTAACAAATATATTTCATATATATTTTATTCTATTAAAGTGATTCTTCTTGCTGACGAATGGGTAAAAGCTAGCGGTTTGAAGGACAGTGGCAAAGACTGGTAAAGATTTAAAATGACAATTAATTAGTATTTTGTGGGCCGCACTATAATCCTTATAGTCTTTTAATGATTTGTCTGACAAGATTTATTTGCTGTATAAACTACTGTTACACTGAATGACATCATGGTAAAAATGTATGATAAATCATTATTTTTGGCAAAAAACAAACAAACATTATTTAATAGTGTGTTATCATTATATACGGCAACAGCAATATGATCAAATATTGCATGCGCGACCAAAATAAAAAATGCACTGAGTAAACATCAGAAGAACATTTACAGGGTGTATTTTGGAGTAATGTTGAACAAAACCCTTCAACACACACACACACACACACACACACACACAAATATAAAATAATTAAATTCCTGCCAGCAGCGTTCGCATGATGCTGGGGAATTCACACACTCGACTCGACTCGACTCCAGACCTCCCTCTGAGACCCAACAATAAATAAAATCAGTGGTTCAAATAGACAATAGAAGAGCCTGGTAACATGGGAACACATTCACCTGAAGTACAACTAATGTGTGTGTGCTCTGGAAAGAGACCAGGACAGAAACAGAAGTTGTTTTCTTGGAGAGAAGACACATGGTTAGTTCAAAATTGATCCTCTTCCGCTAACATCATGTTTTATGCACACCACATCACAAAATTAGAAATACATTCACATTCTCTAAAGCTTTATTCTATATTCAATCACAAAATCCGAATTAACTAATATATATTCAAATGAGGCTGTATGATGTGAACTCTTGAGTGTGTGTGGATCAGGCCGAATCTGAGCTGTCACAGTTAATCAGAGCTGTATCCTCTCTTCTCTCCACTCCTGACTGAGTGTGTCTCGCTCTTCTCTAGCGGCGGTTCCCTAGATGATTTCACCTGCCCGCTCAACTCAGTCCCCATACGTCCAGTGTCAAACACAACTTTAACAGAGCGCACACTGTGCTCTACGAACCCACACACCACCTCTCCTCAGAAAGCAGGCCGCTGACTGAACTATAGTTTCAAAAGAAACAAGCAGATTTATGACAAGGCAAGTTTTGCACAACTTTTACTACTGACAGTGGTTCACAGCAAGCAATGAAACCAAGTGTGAAAACAGCCTAAATTTGAATCAGTACTTTCAAAATCCGAAGATTCAGATTCAGAACAATCAGAATCAGTAACCAAATCCACAGAGTAGACTGACAATCAGAAGAATCAAATCAGAAAAAAAAATCAATATACTGACAATTAAAAGGATCAAATAAGAAGTAGTACTTTAAAATGCGAAGATTCAGATTCAGAATCAGAACAATGAGAATCAGTTGATTCAAAAACAGAAACAAAATCTGCAGACTGATAATTAGAAGGATAAAATAAGAATCCGTACTCTCTTTAAATCAGAAGATTCAGATTCAGAACAGTGATAATCAGTCGATTCAAAATCATAATGAAAAACAGCAGACTGACGGTCAGAAGAATCAAATCAGAATCAGAAGATTCAGATTTAGGACACTGAGAATCAGTAGATTCAAAATCAGAAACAATATCAGTACACTGACAATTAAAAGGATCAAATAAGAATTAGTACTTTAAAAATCAGAAGATTCAGATTCAGAACAATGATAATCAGTAGATTCATATCAGTATCAAAATCCGCAGACTGACAATCAGAACAATTAAATAAGAATCAGTACTTTAAAAATCAAAATCAGAAGATTCAGATCAATCTGAATTAGTTGATTCAAATACAGTATCAAAAACAGCAGACTGACAATCTGAGCAAAGAAATCAGAATCAGTCATTTTGAAATCAGAATCAAATCAGAAGATTCGGAACAATCAGAAACAGAAGATTCAAAATCAGAAATCAAAATCAGCAGACTGAAAACTAGATAAAAAAATTAGAAGATTCTGATTCAGATCGATAATTAGTAGATTCAAAATCAGAAGACTGACGATCAACAGAATCAAATCAAAATCAGTAGATTCAAAATCAGAATCAAAATCAGCAGACTGACGTTCAGAAGAATCAAATCAGAAAGTTTCAGAACAATGAGAATTAGTAGATTTAAATCAAATCAGAATAAGTATTGTAAAAATCAGAATCAACAGAATCAGAATAATCAACCAAAAAAAAAAAAAACTAAAGCCAGAATACAATGAAATCAAATTAAACCAACAATCCTTCATCCTTATCATTTTCTCATTCAGTGAGGATTCTGGGTATTTGCTGATGGAGACTTGTCAGGTTGCGTCTGGTTAGGACACAGTGTTAGAGTTTGAATGAGATGGTCACTCACTGGTCCTGAGGGTCGATGGGGTGACCTCGATCTCACTGCTGGTCTGGTAGGGCTGGAAGGCCGACAGGTTGCTGGAGTTGAGCTCACTCGTGCTGAAGAGCTCTGGACTCTGGGTGCCTGTGGAGCTCGCACTGGTGCCGTCACCGCCATGATGGGGGTCCTGCTCCTCATACACCGCCACCAGCTAAGGACAGACAAACAGTTATGTTAATTACACTGGCTGATCTATTATAAGTAAATACTAGGGCTGAACGATTAATTGCATTTGCGACAATATCGCGATATGAAAAAAATTGATTTTTCAATCGCAGAGGCTGCGATTACACTCGGTCATGTGATATGCGAGAGTAAAGAGGTGTGTTCGACTTGAAGATCGATCGGTGTATGACATCAAAGTATGGCGAGAGAAAGCATAAGGAGACGTCCGCTCTCTTATAGCTCTCGCAGTACTTTGATGACACACACCGATCGGTCTGAGCAGCGCTGCTTCAAGTCGAACACATCTAAGCAGTCTTCAGAGGAAACATCAAGTTGGCACGCTATAGTGTTACCAAGTCCGCCGTTTGGGGAACCCCTCCAAAAAACGTTTATTTTACCCCCTGGAATGCTATTTTTACCGGTGGACCCCCCTCGAAATGCAATTAGGACTTAAACTATGATACATTTGAAAAAAAAAATGGTTTCATTAAATTGTGAGCGCATGCACTGTGGAAAACTGTTCGCAGCCACACACCCCTGCACTGTATAATGCTGCAAAGAGGAGAAAATTGCATAGAGTTATCGGGGAGGTTAATTCATCAGCTTTTGTCCTGATTTCTGCCGACTTTAACAGTTCACACATCCACCGGAATAAATGGAACCAGCAACTCACATGCAAGCCAACACAGAGACGCTATTGTGTGAAGCAGTTTGAGTCTGTTGATTCGTAAACGATGGTGCTCTATGGTTCACGTTCAGCTATTTACTCCTCGCTAGCAGGCAGAACTGTGACCAGACGAGTCCAGTTATACTTTTCTCTGCTGTCTTTTTCGCTCATGCTCTGATTTTAAAATGGTGTATGATCATCCTAATTCAAAGTGACTTCTCGTTTGTTTCTTTGGCCAAATTAAAGCATGTCAAATAAATGCCCTTAAGACGATGCACTGACAGACTGCTATGACCACTGCTCTTCTCGCTAGAGAGACCTCCTTACAGAGCCTCTTTTGCATAGATGGTTTTAGGAAAGAAAGAAAATTACACATTGATTTTAAAATAACCATGAAAAAGAACAATCAAGTTCTAAAATATTAGAAACGAACATCCAAAAATCATCCTAATAATAATTCTGAATAGCTGTATATTTTTGACACAAATCTCTTTAGCATCATTTTCTCTCATCCAGTTGTCATCTGAATGACAGTTCTTGATGTTTAGATGCATGTCTGTTTGCTAATTGTGCGGCTCAGTCGTTTTCCGCACACACTCTTCAGCTGGAGAGCCGCCGCACAAACAAGCTCACTTCAGTCACTTCAGCCTGCACTCGTAATCAAACAGGGTATTTGTTTATAAATCACACAGTATTTATGGGGACTTAAGAGGCCTGTCTTTAGGCCTAAATGCACTGAAGCTCCATGAATAGCCAGTAAACTGCAGCTACAGCTCTCTGGCGTTTCAAGAGTTCTTACAGGGAGAAAATGACAAAACACTGCTTTTGAGAGAGTAAAAAAAAAAGTCACCATGTCCATTTCTATACAGTAGCTTCAGGTGACCACAGGAAGATCTGAAAACTATTCTGGTCAGAATCAACAGAATAAGAATCAGAATGAGTAGTTTCCTGGCGTTTCGAGAGTTCTTACAGGGAGAAAATGACAAAACACTGCTTTTGAGAGAGTAAAAAAAAGAAGTCACCATGTCCATTTCTATACAGTAGCTTCAGGTGACCACAGGAAGATCTGAAAACTATTCTGGTCAGAATCAACAGAATAAGAATCAGAATGAGTAGTTTCAAAACCAGAAACAATATTAAGAGATACAGAATCAGAAGAACTGGAATCAGAATTATACAATTTAAAAATCAGTAGACTGAGAATCAGAATAAACAGATTCAAGACCAGAATCACAAGACTTAAAATTTAAATCAGCAGTTTCAGAAGTAGGAAGGAATAAACAAACAAACAAACAAACAAACACAAATCATCAGATACATTAAAAATCTGGAGAATTAGAATTTGAACTCATAAAATGATTATCAATTAGAAGAATCAGTCAAAATAAATACTTCAAGTAGATTCAGAATTAGAATCAGTAATTTTAAAATCAGAATCAATATCAGTAGATTCAGAATCAAAATAATTGTAATCAGAAACAAAAATATTCAAAATCAGTAGACTGAGAATCAGAAGAATCTGAATCAGAAAAGTACATTTAAAATTGGAATCATCAGATTAAAAATTAAATTAGTAGTAGATTTAGAACTAGAAAAATAACATTACTTTTCAAATCAATATATTGAGAATTTGAATAACCAGAATACATTAAAACCAGCATCTAAATAAATAAATACATAAATAACAATCAGAAGATTTAGAGGATTCTTAAGAAACAGATTCAGAATCAGAAGAATCAGAATTAAATTCTACCTAGTTGCTGAACTTGTATACACACAAATATATTAATTAACCATTTAATCATTTCCTGGTGTGTACTAATAGCTAGCATACTAAATCAAACATTTGAAGACTACAAACTGTTGCAAAGAGTTGCACTTTAGTTGTAATTGCTGGAACTCAAAACTCACTTAACAGTATAAAACACCACTAATATTTAATTCCTGGCATATACATAAAAAAAGTCCAGTATATGCCTCACATCCATGAGTGTCATCTTTATCCTTTTAGAGAAAAGCATAAACAAAACAGAAATGAAAAAAGACTGAACCAGGACAGTGAAATAAAGTTTTGAGTGACCTTCACTGAAAAACAGCTCCAGTCTGAGGCAAAGAGATTGCAGGGTTTTAGAAGCATCCACGGGCCTGTTATCTTAAGTGCACAGATTGTTCAAGGGCTGCTTTTGTGCTACAGGCCCAGTTCAGCTCTGCTCTATCACAAATTTGCAATACAATACTTCGGTTTCCTTACTTAGTTGTTGTTTCTGTATATGGACATTAGAAGATAAGAATGGACGTGTCCTGCCAGAAACAGAGACTGTTTGTCTGCACCATTTTGAAATGCTAATGATGATGGTTACAAATAAACTGCTGACAAATATGAGACGACAGATCAGTTTCATGTTTTGATGAGACGTTTGTGACAAGAAACCAGAAATGCTGAAATTTAAATAAATGATGGGCAAAAATGTGGGACGGCAGCCAATCCCTGACATCCATCATTAACAAATCAAAGTTTCCGGTGGATTCAGAATTTAAATCATATAGTTATGGATTGCTATACTGATTTCAGAATTAAAAATGCACAACTCAACAAATTTAAGGCAATCACACAAAACGTACAGTATATAATCTTCAAGTTTTGCATCAAATCCTCAACTTAACCACAGGCTCTACTCTTCGAAACGGCAACATGAATTTGAAACATTTTTCAAAAGGAAACCAAATAGAGCTTTATCAAAAAGCTGTAATAACTTGTCTCTAGAACAGACAAAAAGAAAAATAATAAGTAAAAATATCAAATCATGTCTCTAGAACAGACAAATATGAATGTGGGTATAACCATCTTAGCAGTAGACAATGTTTATGATGAGAAAAATATGTGAGAAAATACTTGGTTGTTGTTTTAGGAAATTTTTCATATTAAGCATTTTGTAAGTGAATGTAAGTGAATTTTTTAGAATGCAATTTTAAATACTCTATTTGATTGCGTACAAGCACATTGGGATATTAGAAACAAAGCTGTTCCAAACTTTAAATTAATTGAAAATTATGCTTAGGCCAAACATGCATAAAACACCTTTTACAGTCGAATTCAAATGTTTTATTGAAAGTGTAATCTATAAAATGCAATTAACAAATGATCTAATACCAATAAATGTGAAGTGCCTGTATAATGTTTTTTTTTTTTTTATTGTAGGGCTTGTTTTGTTTGTTTTATGGAGACATCGGTTAACCAGGCCAATAAGAGACTATTAACTCTTCCTTTGTATTAAACAAATGTGTCATTAAAATATCTACAAACATATAAAACTGATCTGAGATTAGGTAAAAACCACATAGACAATGGTTCACCATTATCACCCCCTAGTGGTGAACCATTGAAATTTCAAAAAATTACGTAAAAGTTACGATGTAACGAAGCCTCGCTTACTGAAATCCCATGACTTTTGTGCTTTGATACGCGCTCTGAATCACTGATTTGAAACAAATGATTTGCAAAGGTTTCGAAGCTTCACGAAGCAGCGTTTCAAAAATCCTTCGAAATTTTCACCTTTGTCCAGTTATGAGCGATAAAAATGTTGTTATATTCATTAAAACTAGAGTTGCATAATCTCTGAACCACCTCACGCAAGTGCTCGTCAACACAGGCGTCTATTACTGTTACCGTCTTCAGTAGTTTATTGTTGTTGTCGCACCATATTCGTTTTTCATTTGTAAACCAACGGCCAGATTCAGTGTTGCAACCTTGTGGACAAACTGATTGGTAAAATACACATAAAAACGAAGCATACTTCAGGCTTTAGTCACACCTAACATGTCCTCTTATGCATGCTGCAGGGTCAACCATTCAATATCAGACTGAACAGGAAGAGGAAAACCCAAGGAAAGAAGTGAGGTGAATCTTCCCAATGCCTTTCATGTCTTTCCCCTTTGATCTCGAGGCTTTCGCGGTGGGAAGTGCCAGGTAATTACAGAAGGACCCTGATGCGCAGATCTGTTCCATTAACTTTGACAGTCAAGATCTCGTGTGATCTTTCCAAGTTCAACATTTTGATCGGCAACTATAGGGTGAATCAGAATTCAACATTGACACGTAATGGAGACAACTAGACATTAGCATAAGCAGAACACCGCCATGCACTTCAAAAGCCTTTTTGGAGCAGGAAGGATGTCGTTCAATTGCTATCAAACAAGTCATTTTGACCTTAATAGCTGCGACAGCGAACGAGATAAAACCGAGACATTCCTGCAGCTATGCCTACAATTACGACACGGGACTTCAAATGACTCTCCCGAGCTGCCAATTTTCTCTGAGC